CTATATGTGTTCATTAGTAATCTAATCAAAACACCTTAGGTGTGAAAAAAGGTGCGGCCAAAAATTATTGAGTTTTCTGTTCAACTTGAAGCATGATGGTGGGTAAAACAAAATACGCGGTCTGACTAACTAATCAATTAATATTTGCTGTAAAATTCTTATCAATGCTATGAACGTAGCTACTCTTGACTTGCCGGTCGAGTATGACCCAAAGGTTTTCGATGGGGTTCATGTCAGAGATTGGCTCGGCCAGGGCAGCTTCTGGATACCATTTTCTTCCTGCCACTTTTGGGTGTTTCTAGCAGTGTGACATGGTGCTCCATCTTCCTGGAACAACGTTGTGTTCTTGTCCACGAAACCCGAGGAATAATGTGGCAAGAGTCCTTCCTACAATATTTCGACGTATTTCGCAAAATTTATGTTGCCAACGCACTCCACTAAGCTCGATCTCCCACCAACCCAAACAGCTCCCCAAACCATCACGCTGAAACCACCATGCTTCACAGTTGGCTGCAATCTGTTGAGCCAAAACTCTTGGTGGGGCATTCTCCAGACCCATATCCTTCCACTGTCCGAAAATTGAGCGAATCTTGATTCGTCTGAGAACAATACGGTCTTACAAAAGTCCAGAGGCTTGGTCATCATATCACTTGCCCACTTCTTTCGTCTGACTGTGTTGGCAGGTCTTAATAAGGGCTTCCGTCTAGCTGCTCTGCAACGATAACCCAATCTGTTGAACAGATTTCGGGCTCATCCCACAAGCTTTGGCCACTTCTGCAGTCGTTAATCTGGGATCCATTTCGATGCTTCTCTTGACAGCCCTTTTTGTCCTCTCCGATGGACCAGGACGACCCGGACGCTGCTCAGTTGTTTCCTTGCCGTGTGTCATGAACTGCACGATGATTCTGTTGACTGTCGAAAGCGGGGTTACCAAATTCTGCGAAATTTGCCGCTGACTTATTCCACCATTTGCTTAACCAACTATCCTTCCTCTAATAAAATCTGACAATTCGAGAGAACCTTGAGTTCTAGGCATGTTGTGCGGACCATTTTCATTTATATAGTGCTCTATGAACACAAATTAGTTAGCATAAATTAGTTAAATGACGAAAAATTAGGTGTCTATTTACTTGTGACCACTGTTGTAGTTTTACTGGTGTTATATCTTTTTGTGGCTTCTATTGACTATAACTTTCAACTTTATTATCTATATGCTATTGTAGTTTTACTGGTGATATATCTTCCTGTGGCTTCTACTGGATATAATATTCAACTTTACTTTGTAATATTCTGTTGTAGTTCTACTGGTGTTATATCTTTCTGTGGCTTTTACCGTCTATGAGTTTCATCTTTACTATGTAATATTTTGTTGTAGTTATACTGTGTTATATCTTCCTATGGCTATACGTTCCAACTTATTATCTATATTCTGTTATAGTTTTACTGGTGCTACGCCATCCTGTGGCTTCTACTGGATATATGTTTCAACTTTACTATGTATTGGTTTGTTTGAATTTCGCGCAAAGCTACACGAGGGCTATGTGCTCTAGCTGTCCCTAATTTAGCAGTGAAAGACTAGAGAGAAGGTAACTGGTCATCACCGCCAACTCTTGGGCTACTCTTTTACCAACGAATATTGGAATTGAATGTTATATTTTAACGCTGAAAGGACGAGCATATTTGGTGGGATGGGGATTCGAACCTGCGACCAGCATATTGCGAGACGAGTACCCTGATCACCTAGCCATGCCAGGCCCTTTTACTATGTAATATTTTGTTGTAGTTCCACTGATGTTATATCTTTTTGTGGCTTATACTGGCGAAAAGTTTCAGCTTTATTATCTATATTCTGATGTAGATTTACCAGAGGTATGTCTTCCTGTGGTTTCTACTGGTGATATCTTTCAACTTTATTATTAAATACGGTAGTACTTAATAGTAGGGATCAACAAGGATTCCAAATAATTCACACGCCGAAAAACCACCGTATCTTATTCCTGAGCGAAAACCCGAACATTTAAAGCATTGGTTACGATATATTACATACATATATACTAATAATACGCTATAAAGGTCGCTAACATTTTCGGTATAACAATTCAAAAACTTCTAAAACAGCAACTTTTGCGTCTGCTTCCTACCTATCTGATCACGTCAGCGGGACTAGCCCCTAGACAGCTCTGACTATCGCTACAAGATTTTCCCAACTTACTTGCCTAGTCTGTGGGTATCCGCTATGGAAATTTCTATAAATAATATATATATATATATATATATACAGATTTTTTTATAAATGGTAAACATGTCATGCACGTACTTATATACCTTTCGACTTCAATTCAACCCAACACATATCGATGGATAGACTCGCGATAGTTTCTAAAGGTAAAAGTAAACAAACAAGAGTATTAAAATATTACGAATTTTAAAATGATATAGGAATTCTGCTAAAAAAAAGTAATGAAACAAGAATTGAAACCACAATCACAAATTTATAAAATTTAATCCCTACTTTGGCAGCTCTATACATTTATCTGTAGGACAAAGGAAGGATTACATTTTATAAATTCGTTATTGTGATTTTAATTCTTGTACAAGTTATAGCTATACTAAAAGTTTAGAGATGTTGTATACATTCCATGGACATATAAAAACTGAACAAATAAATGGGGGAACAAATTAAAATGTTAACGGAAATTAGGGATCTTTGCTGCAATGAAAGTAAATAAACAAGTGATACTAGCTGGATAGATTTTGTAACGATTTCAGTCCTTACCTTAGTTGGCAAATTTAGACTGCTTTATTTAGCTATGTGGATCTCAATGCCAACCAAAGTACGAATTGAAAATTGTTTTAAAATATATCCAGCACTTTACTTGTTTGTTCACTTTTTATTGCAGCAACGATCCCTTATATTTTTTCCTATTTATGTGTTCGGTTTTTAAATGGCTTATCTATATCCTGTGGCTATGAGTTTCAATTTTGATATTCTCTTGTTGTAGTTTTACTGGTGTTATACCTTCCTGTGGCTTCTACTGGCTATGCTGTTTATGGAAGTAACGTGAAAAGTAATATCCTTCTCTCTGTGACTCCTGGACCAATCAGGACAACAATTGAGGTTTTTCTAGCACTTCACTTGTTTTTTGCTTTCTTAATTGTAGTCAACCCTACGTGTCAAGAGCTAGAAGAAATGTGTCATGTTCCACATCGTAAGTAAACCAGCTTTATGTGTTTACAAGATATATGCAAAATTTTCAATTTTAATTGTAACATTTTCTACTTCAAAAGGTAATTATGTGAATTGCGACAGGATTTCAGGATGTGTATCGTGAAGCTAGTAATCTCACAGTGTCTTTCAAAAAACCGAGTTTCTTATCGTTTTACTTTGACAAAAACTCATTTTCAATCTCAAAATTACTTACCGTATTTTGGATTATAAAACTAAACAAATTAATGTTGAAACACACAATCGTAACTATCATGTAAATACTAAAATGGTTTTAAATATATACAATTTAATTAAAGGAAGAAGCAAACGGAGTAATTTAACATGGATAAAAGTAGTAAATGGTTCTGTCGATAGATGGCGAACAGTTTATATTCAACATGTTTTTATTTAGTTTTCTCGATATGAAACGACTAGTATTTTATACATATGAAATGAGACAACATATTTTACTACAAAATAAGTAACCTGATTACTTTTAAAAGGTTTCAGCTGGAAACGATGTTTGTTAAGATCCGCTATGATGGTAGCCATCTTGTTTGTAGCAGAATCAGTACCTCATTTTGGGAAAATTTTGAATCTGATTGGAGGATCCACAATAACGATGATGACTTTTGTTTTTCCACCAATGTTTTACATGCTTCTGTGCCACCAGAAACAACCTCATTGGCCTGAGAGGTAAGGATGCTTTGTGACAGAACCTCAAACTATACCAAAATCGGTTTAATATACCGTGTTTTATGTGTAGTTCTGGAAGCCGTTTTTGTAAAAGCGAGAAATGGTAGCACTACTAAAGCGTATACCAACACCTTTTAAATCTTGAAAAGTACAATGTTTTATTTAGAAACCTAGGCCCGGCATGGCCAGGTGGTTAGTGAGCTCGACTCGCAAACTGTGGGGCGCAGGTTCGAATCCCCGTCACACCAAACATGCTCGCCCTTTCAGACGTGGGGCGTTATAATGTGACGGTCAATCCCACTATTTGTTTGAAAAAGAGTAGCCCAAGAGATGGCGGTGGGTGGTGATGCATTCCCTCTAGTCTTTCGCTGCTAAATTAGGACGGCTAGCGCAGATAGCCCTCGTGACAAAAACAATCTAGAAACGTTCGTGATGAGCAGTTTCTTAGACTTTTAAATATGTCTAGCAAAATTTATAAGACATAGTAACACGTAGGTCGTATGGTCAAAATATATACAAAAACATAACCACATATAGGTCATACGGTCAAAATATATACCACAGACTAATTAATCATAACATAACTGTATATAGTCTTACGGTCAAAATATATATACCACAGACTAATTAATCATAACATAACCACATATAGGTCATACGGTCAAAATATATATACCACAGACTAATTAATCATAACATAACCACATATAGGTCATACGGTCAAAATATATATACCACAGTCTAATTAATCATAACATAACCACATATAGGTCATACGGTCAAAATATATATATATACCACAGACTAATTAATCATAACATAACCGGATACAGTTATGTTATGATTAATTAGTCTGTGGTATATATATTTTGACCGTATGACCTATATATAGGTCATACGGTCAAAATATATATACCACAGACTTATTAATCATAACATAACCGTATATAGGTCATACGGTCAAAATATATATACCACAGACTAATTAGTCATAACATAACCGGATATAGGTCATACGGTCAAAATATATAGCACAGAATAATTAATGTTGGTCATGACGTCAAACTTTATGATAATCAACTATCGCATGCACACCATACTGTCAAAATATGTAGCACAGAATAGTTACACATAACATAGCCGTACGTTAGTCTTAAGGTCAAAATGTATACTACACTATAATTAACTATGACGAGTAGGTCATGTTGTAGAAGTTCATTTTGAAAGTCTAGTTGACCTATATTAAAGTTTCAAGGTTATGGCTACCGTGTGAAATCATGCCATTATTGTATTCTATTTATTAGTCTATTGAAATATCCAGTAAATCATGTTAAACTTATTTTGTTTTTGTTTTTCAGAACAGTACCTCTGCACCAGAAAGTTTACTTCGCAGAGATTATGATGATCGGTTTGATAGGAGGAGTCATATCAACATACTCTGCTCTCCAGGACATATTTGATCCATCGTCTTTTTCCCCGCCATGCTACATTAATATTGCTGGGCAAGACGTGTAGTTATAGAACTAGAAGTTTGTTTGTCTGTTCTGTAGTGGGCGGATGTAAAGTTCCGTTAAAATATGAACTAAACAACCAACAATATTATATTTATCAAACTTCTTATCGTGTTATTGGTCTAGTAGGTATTTTAACAAATATTTATGAACTAAACAATCAACAATATTATATTTATCAAACTTCTTATCGTGTTATTGGTCTAGTAGGTATCTTAACAAATATTTATGAACTAAAGAATCAACAGTATTATATTTATCAAACTTCTTATCGTGTTATTGGTCTAGTAGGTATTTTAACAAATATTTATGAACTAAACAATCAACAATATTATATTTATCAAACTTCCTATCGTGTTATTGGTCTAGTAGGTATTTTAACAAATATTTATGAACTAAACAATCAACAATATTATATTTATCAAACTTCCTATCGTGTTATTGGTCTAGTAGGTATTTTAACAAATATTTATGAACTAAACAAT